AAAAAAAAAAAAAAAAAAAAAAACTTGTTCCGGCGCCCTCTTGGTAGTCAATGCCCGATGGACCACGGATCAAGGTTGTTCCTTGCACCTACCGGTAGCGCTGATACAAATGTATTGATCTCAGAAGCATGAACCTGGTCGGTCGATGGGCCTTGCCCCTTTGTCATAGTAAATATTGTGGACACAAGACTATGTCGTTGTATTATGTGGTGTGCTATAGGTACCACCACACCATTCTCGAATTCGTCCAATTCAAGAGCGGTGATGGTGGTATCCGTGCTGCATCGGCTCTGGAATCAGAATTGTAATGCAAATTGCAGAGTTGTCAAATGCGAGGGTCAGAGCACATTTTGGAACTGGTTCGAGTCCCACACCATTTACTAGTGGGTCTGTCATCTCGGCCTGAAAAGTTTCCATGTGGAGGATCACAGACATTTCACACGAACCAGCCGGACACAAGAAAAAGAAAACAGAATAAAATATGAAAATCCCTCCTTTTTGGGGAAGGGTACGGGTTGCATTTACTTGGGTTTTCCCACAAATTTTCGTGGAGACAGTTGCTCCCGAATACGTTAGCATCCGTTTCCACATGAATCCAAAAGGTTCGGAACGTTGTAGGTGCGAATACCCATACAAGGGTATCTGCCCTGGTTTTTGCAAGTGACAGAAAAAAGTTTGGTTTAAAGTCTGAGTATACCGCGCGAGTCGCGATGTGCTTTAATTACGTTGACTAAGTGGTTGACTGAAAATAGAGAGTGTGTGGGCCCGTAGACTTAAGGTGCGCGTCATCTCTTTTCTTGTTGATGGTTGAGAAGCCGGCGTGGTTGCCGAACAAGTTTTTATTTCTGATTAAACCAGGATTAAAAAAAATATTTTTTGATTGGTACAGTTGACCACGGCATGTGCGTGCATGCGGAGGACGACGTCGACGGTGGCACCGGTTCGGTGTAATGAGCGGGGTGAAAATAAGGGTGGAAACGCGAAAACAAATGAGCTGCGCGGTAAGTGCGGGAGGTCAGTGGCCGTGAACAAGTTTGATAGGCCAAGGAGTGACTTTGGTGCATTTCAGGTGGACCCGCGCGTCGCGTGGTAACCGTCTATGGATGTTTGCTAGTGTTAAACTCAACCTTGGGCCTAGCATTATTGGTTACGGTGTCAGACTTTCATCCAGAGGATTCAAGGATTCAGGTTAGTGAGCGACAATGAAAAGGTATTGGAACGACGTGAAGAGGTCGAGGGGTTGAGGGTCCGACGGGCCCGATCCCCTTTGGTTTCGCCACCATCGGGACCGGAAAGGTACTAACCGTTTCCTTTTTCTTCGTCTGTCGTTCTTCTCGGCGTTACTCCTTTTAAATGTATTATTATTTTATTGTTATTATTATTTGCGTTCATGTTTTGACCCTCTTTTAAATTGAGCGTAACATCGAATTTAGGGGTTGTCACGGCAGTCCAGGACCTTGAGCACGTGCTTTTTTTGGTGGGCCGATTTTGGTTCCCGCATGTTCGGAAAGCTGGCAGAATTCCTTTGTCCCATCCGTCTGGAAACCCAAACAGAGAGGCTCAACGTGCGTGTGAGACGGTGGTCGATTAACCCACAAGGCGGAAGGAAACCAGCGGAGGGACCATCTGCGGATGCCCAGTCTGTCGCCCGCAGTCCGCTGCGAGAGGCTTTAAGAAAGGATATGCCCGTTGGGGCCCGAAAGATGGTGGACCGTGCTCGGGCGTAGTGAAGCAAAGCGGCCCGGGGCGTTGTGGGGAGACCGCAACTGTGTTGAGGCAGGTTGCAGATCACAAGGAACCCCTCCCCACTTCGGTTCTTGAAGTTCTCATTTGAATATTTGCTACTACTACCAAGCTCTGCATCGAGACCTGTTTCACCTGAGGCGTGCTATAGGCTTCGCAGCACGCCCGTGCCCTCCCACTCTTTGAGAAGTCGGAGTAGCCACAACAGCAAGTGTAGGCTGCACTCATCAACGGGTTTCAGCTTCCATGGCCGCCGACCTGCTGCCTGTATCAATTGACACTTGCCGGGGTGTATGGGCTAACACACAGTTAGCATCAGTTAGGGAGGGGGCACTCTGGCAAAGGAGCGCAACGATACTATCATAGAAATCGTTCGTCGGATTGGGTATAGGGGCGAAAGACTTTTGAACCACCTAGTAGTTGGTCACCGCCGAACTTTTCTTAGGATAGCCAGGGTTGTTGAATTGCTGGGCAGCCATCGTGGGAACGGACGTTGTGCAGTCAGCCGCTGTCAGGAAACAACATTAGTCGGAAAAATGTGAGCGGACAGCAGGGAGTCAAGGCAGCGAATGGGGGAGGGTGAATTCGGACACGCATCTCTGCCAAATGCGATCGACGTGGAACACGATGAAGAAGATGGGGGCAAGCACAAGCATGGCGGGGGGGATAGAGCACTCCTCGCCCATTTCTGGATGGATTTGAGTAAGGAAATGCGCTATATGGAGGTGTCTGGACAAGGCGATCGCGATACCGTTATCAGAAAACTGAAAGAGGGAGTGTGGTGGAAGTTAGTCGAGGAAGAAGACGCATGAAAGGTGATGGCGAAAAATGGGCATGAGGAGAGTGCAACGAAAAGTAATAACACGCTCGTTTCTCAGTAAAAACGGGCGGGGAATCGGGGTTTTGGGCTATGATGATGCGGAACATGAAGTTCGTTTTAGTAGTGACTTAGTAGATAGCGGGTTAGTAGAGGAAGTTGTGCGTGGAGATGGCGCAAGCTAGCTATGGTAGAGAGGAGAAAATAGGTATCTCACTCAATTCCCTACAGAATCGAGCGAGAGAAGAAGTTAGACTGAGGTTTTTATGTCGGGCAAATTTGATTTCGAAGTTAGTTTTGACAAAGAGTTAGTAGGGAGAGAGCTAAAAAAGAAAGAGGCTTCGTGGAGATGTCGAGTGGACATGGCGGGAACAAGAAAACAGACGCCTCACTCGATTCAAGTACTCGATGGAATCGAGTGCGTGAAGGGGCTAGTCCGGGGTTTCGAGGTGTTGCGCGCATGATAATAGTGTTAGATTTGCATCTAAGTTATTAGTTTGGTTGGGGTCGACAGTAGGAGTTGCGCCCAAGAAGAAGGGGGGAAGGCAGCGAGGTACCTTTCGACGTTTGTGGCGGAAGATTCATTCCGATTTTGCTCAACCTAAAGGTGAAGGTAGCGCGAGGTAAGCTGTGGCGTTGGAAACTTACCTGTTCGTCGGTACATTGCTCATCGTATTAAGGGAAGTAGCCTCCCTCTGCCTCTCTGCATAAATGGTTGGAAAGCAGTGTAT